CTAATTTAGGATCTTCTTTTTAATAAATTCTTGAAAATGTTAAAAAAAGAGAGAGAGAAAGGGGGACCGGTGAGGATGTTTGGCCCGGGGACCGTGCAGGCTCACAACGTTCCTGAAAGCATTAGAACTGAGCAATTAGTGTAATTTAATAATCAATTTATTATCAGGCTCATAATCTGATTACGTTAAAGTAATAGATTATTATCACGTGAGTTTTAAGTAAATAGAATTATCAGAAAATAGTAATTCTCAAAAACCCAAATTTTTGTTATTTTCGTGAGTTGTGACACTAATTGATTAAGCTGAACAATCTCGAGTTAATTGAAAATAACAATGAGAAATCGTAATAGCAGTATTTTGATTTCTTTGTTAGTTGTAATAATAGCAAACATTAGTAATCAGAAACTAATTTTTATTAGAAAAAATTATCATTGTTGTTATTAATATATATAAATATTATTAATTGATTAATTTCATGACATTAATCAATTTAATCATAATTTTGATTATTTTATCAATGTAGTTTATGCATATGGTTTATCAGTTATGTTGATTAATCAAATTATTTGCCAAGTTCTACATAGAACTCATACAAATGTTCTTCTTTTCACTCTAAGGATATTAGATAATCATTAGCAATTTTGCTTTTATTTCTTTTATTGTCTTAAAGTGTATAGGGCCAGTTTTTGTCAGACATTTTCTGAGATGAAGGCTCCTACTGGTGAGTGGAAATCTGTTCTAGCAGGGACTTTTGTGGCAATGGCCCTTACTGTATGGCTGTATGTATGGATGAAGAACTTTGGTAAGCATAGGAATTATACTTTTATTGTAAAACAGAAGATAGTATTAAAGAATATGCAAGGTAGATTGATGTTTGATTGCTTAATAAATTGTTAAGTTTTTCTTTTAACAAACACATTGTCGAAGAATTCTAGCCTTTCTATTAAAAAAAAAATCGTTAAAATGTCACTGACATTGCAAACATTATGTAAAATCAGTCAGCTTTCCATATACAGCCTGATATTCCAAAGAGCCATTATTCCAAAGGGTTACAAGTTTGAAAGGACCAATGTTCTGATGGGCTGATATTCTGAAAATTGAATGTAAGAGCAGTTACACATGTAGGACTAATGTTAATTCAGGTTGTTATAATACATAAACAATAGTACATGTATAATGTTATATAAGTGTTCATAAAACAGTAAAAAGTATAATGAATTATTATTAATATTTCATCTAATAAAGAAATAACAGTTTTCACAAAACCTGTTTCACTTTTTAAGGATAGAGTTGGGCCTTGGTAGAAATAAAAACGTTAGGGTATTATAGAACTTAAAATTTGCTTATCCAACAACTTCAAGAATTTCTACAGTATTTTTTTCAACTAAACAAGAAGTAGATTATGTGTTAATACACATTTCAAGCAGATGCAAATTACAAAAATTTGCTAAAGAATTGTGATTTGGATACAAATATCTTACAGAAGAGTGTAACACTAGAAATTGTGTTATTGCTATGCATTACATTGCTAAATTTCTTGAATCATGTTATATCTGTCATGTGAAATTCCAACTCTGCTACATTACACATCACAAACTTTCAATCAAAGTTAACAATTGGATCTGCTATGTTACTGCCCCCAGCAAATTCTAAAAATTACGGAATAACATAACAACACAATATTATATCAATTATGATGAGAATTATGTATATATAAATCGCTTACAAACTATTGATTACATTAATTGTTAATAGGTGATTAAATCAGCACTATAAAAATAATAATGAATTAAATGTCGCAATACTGTTATCGGTCCTGGTTGTCAACTTACTGTCATAATGGATAATGTCTGTGGTAACAGCACCCAAATGCATTGGGGATATCTCATCTAACAGACAAAATCTAAACGCCATTGTCAATCTAGTCAGCCGTCATGGAAAATCATTAAAACAAAATCAAATAAGGGTACAAAGCTGAGTGCTTACACCCACACTGTCTCAGCTTCTACTGCCTTTCACTGTCTATAGCTAGTTGTGGGAAGGCAGTTACCCTTAAATTTCTTAAAGTAGAAATTAATTGAAATAAAGCCACCCTGATATTTCTACTAATTAAACTCCCAACCTCCACTCTTACAAAAAGATATTAAATAGAACCATAAAATACTGAACAGAACTATTAAATATTAAATAGAACAATCCACCATATACAACCAGGACTGATAACAGGATTGCAGTAGTTGTATATGTATACACACAGTATCAAATTTTGAAACTTAGACAAAAAAGGTTTAAATGTAAGGAAAAACTTACATTTCTTCAAGGATTACAGGGAATCTATAAATATTTGGGAAAATTTGTCACTTTTATAGGTTTTAACATATATCTGTAATGTTACTTAATAACTTCAGCTACTCAAACCAGAATATCATCCAGGATATTTTTTTTAATAGAACTCACCGAGTATTATTTTTCCACATATTTGTTTCTTTATTTTAACAATTTCAAAATTATTATTTAAAATATCAAAACAATATACGTTCTGTAGCTGTATATGTTGGTATTTCGACTTGTTATTCCTAAATAAGAAAGCATTCTACCTGCCTTTAATCTAGAAGCAATTTTTATTCAATTTTAACCCCAAAGTTTGTGTAACTTATTTCACCCATAAATAATCCCTAGGTTCAAATCCTGGTTAAACTAACATAACTAAATACAAACATTTATGAATATTATCATCAAACTGGAAATCTTAAAAAGGAAAAACATTTTTTTTATTTCATATTTAAAACAAGAAGTTTAAAAAAAATTAAAATTGTATGTATCTTATCTTTATTTGACTTTTTTTTTTTCACTAAAACAAGTAAACTCAATTTAGTTATTAAATTATTGTATCAATTATCTTAAACAACCTGTTTAAATCAAACAATTTTGTTCATCTTTATAAAATTTTTTAGTTGTTATTATAATCTTATAAGTGAAAGTAATGAAGATTGTATGATAATATATTAACCAAAACATGCATGGTAGGGTATAATTGCTAACTTAATTTTTCACATAAAATATATACAAGTATAAATCTCCGACTCACTGATCTGGTAAAAGGATAAAATATTTATCTTTCAGATTTTACTTTTTACCTTAACATGCTTTGAAGTATTGAATATTAATAAATATAATTGTAAATTTGTTATTTAGTGCAGATATTAAAAAAGATTTAATCTACCTCATTAACTATATCTGCACAAGATGGGTAGTAGAATGTTTTCATATGCAGCACAGTTTGGTTTGTTTTGAATTTCATGCAAATATACTCGAGGGCATTCTGTGCAAGCCATCCCTTATTTAGCAGTGATAATATAGAGTAAAGGCAGCTAATCGACTAACTCTTGGGCTACTCTTTTTGCCAATGAACAGTGGGAATGAATATAGTTCATTGTTTCAGTTTAAACAAGTTAAAGTTGTACTTGTTGCTACTAATTCAGTAATATCTAATACTTTGCTTGTTTCACTAGTTTATCAACCCATGCCAGATTCCTTTACACCAGAGAAAAAAGCAGCACAGCTCCAGAGAATAATTGACTTGAGAGTGAACCCCATTGAAGGTTTAGCATCAAAGTATGACTATGAGAACAACAGGTGGAAAGATTAATAGGTTATTTCTATAGTAGAAGTTCAATAAGAGCATTATTGAATAAAACAGGTATTGATTCAAGTATTCTGTCCACCTTTCAAGTGATTACTTAACTTTGCTAAATTATTTTAGAACACTATTTGAATTATACAACTCTTAACTTTTGTGAGTTAAGTATATAGAGTTTAAGATTATTAAAGATAAATAGGATTATAAGGTATTACTGCACTCACTAGAAAATTTCTACAGCACAAGCAAGAATATTCCAGTTACTGACCTTTGACTGTATACAGGATTATGGCTAAGTATAGATAAGCCTTGTGCAATTTTTCCAGTTGTTAATCATGAAGAAATTTTTGTGAAACAACTTGTAAAAAATGTATGCACTAAATAAAATGGTAGTGGACTAGCTACTGTTTCAAAGAAAAAAGTAGCACAATAAAGTATTTCTTCATCATTTAATGAACTGAGTGTTTCTTTGGTTTTTATCATGTTTTCATTATTATTTTTTGTGGTGCATGGTAGAGCTGGACAATTAACTTGATCACCTAAAAGCATCAATTAAATTGATTAGTGTCATGTAAAATTACGAATTAAGTGAAATTACGTTTAAATCAGTTGTCGCGCAAGTACTCAAATAATCTAAATATTGCCATTAATTCTTGTTATTGTTTTTTATTAACTCACGTTTGTTCAGCTTAATCAATTAGTGTCATGAAAATAAGTGTTAAATCAGTATTTTCCTAATTCAAAATAATACATTTTCACTTACTTCACACTGGAATATTTTGTATAAAATAATTACAAATTTTATATACGTGATAGTTTTATTCACCTCTACCTCTGGCAAATGAAGTGTCATATGATGATGAGTTAATTGTCCCATTGTACAATAAAAGTGCACTTAAAGTATGGATGCGTTTGATCACCAAGATGTAGTTATGTATGTTCATCACCATCTGCTTGATAGCCTTAATATAGTTCTGTTCGTATATTATAACCTGTACCTAATAGTAATATCACTATTCACTGTGATATTCAGTATTTTTCTGATCTATAATCAATGTCGCAAAGTAACGTTTATTTCCATTTTTGAAAAAGAATAGGTAGTTTTAATAGAGTGGTCTTGTGAAAACTTGTAGATAGAATTGTATTAATCATTTGTAGTTTGTTAGAGGTTTGCACTATATTGCATGTGATATGCATTTTCAGTTTAGAATTTAAAAAGTTCCTTAATCATAAATTGTTGTACCAAAATATATTTATCAGACTAAATGAAAGGCAGTAAATACAGAGACAGTAAATATTGTGGTTAGTCGATAGTCAAGAGCAAGGATCTTTTCAACTTTGAAAGGAGCAGCGTATACCCATCTAAGAAAAGTATTATTATTAAAGATCATTTATTTGACCAGCTGTTCAAAAGATGTTATCAGTTTATCAACAGTGGCAATCAACGAGTGCATCTATCACTAAACAAAACTGTTGCCATCATCTGGTGAGTGGCTGTGGGGGGGATTAAAAAGGCTTACATAAAGTATAATAGATGTTAAACTATCTGTTTTGACCAATTCCTTCATTAGTGGTTAAGATTTAACTATCTCCAAAACAATCAGTATGAAAACTACTTATCTAACTGGAAAGCACATGCACAAAGTGACCACCCCCTTTTTCTTTCTTGTACTGACAGTATTAACAAAACCATGGGAAGAACTACATGATCTCGATATTTTAAACCACTTGTAAATTGTATGGCTTGAAGTTTTAATATGGTATTTGGAGTGAACTTGAATATTGTTGTCAAGTATGTTTACACCTTACAACAACATTTATACCCTGATGGGAAAGGCCTTTTCCAAAACTGTAATACAGTAATCCACCATGTATTGTCTAGAATTGGTAAAAGCATGGCAGTGACTTCAGTCACTTTTGTCAGCCAGTTCACTCTTGTTAAGTATCTTTAAGACCATCTGGAATGTTGCATATACCACATGTGTGAACCAACTACAAGCTGAACTCCTCGATGAAGGTACTACATTTGAACAAAATATTTTTTGTATCCTGTAAATTTAAGTGTTTTGAATTACTATAAGTTCCTGAAACATGTATCAGTCCCGAAGTGGGGGAAAAAAAAACATATTTAGAGCAAAATAGGAACTGACCTAAAATTGATTTGAATTTAGTTTCTTTAAAGTACATGTCAAGTAGTCTTATATTATTGTTCATTTAAAATGACAGTAAAGAAAAGGTAGTTTCTAATACCTAACTAATGTATAATTGATGACTGTTTTATATGTGCAAAATAAGTTGTCTGTATAGTGGGTTTATAAGCATAAAAAAATTGTAATAACCAATGGTGAAACTTGAACTACATTAAATTAGTAAGAATATTTTAAGTTGAAAAACAACCATTTGTTTACACTTCTCCAAACAATAATGAATTCTTGTTTATTATATTATGTCAAAACGAAGACATTTGGGCAAAAATATTTGGAAGTATATCAAGGACTTGCGTACTTCTAGCTTGTACACTTGGAAGAGATCGGAGCTTTATACTGGTCCATTTAAAGGTGCCTGCTGGTTTCGTTGCAATGAAAATTAAATGTCAGATGTGAAAGGAAGCTAAAAATATACAACTAAGGGAAGCAATAAGAACATCTCTGGCAATTTGCCAATTATCCATCACAGTTTTTTTTATAGGTACACGTAACTTATAGTGAGTAGAACTTTGTTTCACCAGAAGTATGAACCTTTTAGGCATTAATTGGTAGTAAATAAACTGATTTCTAAGAAGCACAAACTTAAAATTACAAAAAGAATTTAATTTCCACTTTCATTATCATATGTACAAACGATTTAAATTTAAAAAAAAAATTTCATTAAATCATTATAAAAAAAACTTGTTCCACAGCAAGGAAATACTTTGTATCTTAACTCCTCACTTTGTAGAAAACTGAAACGTTATACATACTAAGACACTGTATTGCCTTTAAGTGCTGTTCACTTGTACATGTATTCAGTTTTAGTTAATTGCACTATTAAATCTATAAATTAGGTATAGCCCATTGTTAAAAAAAAAGTGATTTATTTTTGGTATTTATAAGAACTTGTGAATTGTATGGATTGTAAGTAAAATGTTTAGGCAAGATTTTTATTTTTTGCTGAAACTTTTTTTTTAAGTTTAAGCATTTAAAATTATGATCACAGATTTGGTAAAACCTTTTAATAATGAAAGACTCATTAATAATTACTTTCTATTATTTTAAGTTTTTCATTTGTAGTCAAGTTTTCATCAAAGACAAATTATTTAAAATAGTCGTTAGGTTAAAGCAAGTCAGTTTTATAATTATATATATAATTATTGATTGAGATGTCTTTCACTGGTTAAATAACATGGAATTAAAATGATAGCATTTATAAATGTGTATAGCAAAACAATTCTGAAGACAATATTTTTTATCTGTGGTTCTGTGTATCCTCCTCCCCATATACTGCACTAAGTGTATTTTAAGTTTCTTACCACCACCTGTATCACTTACGTCTTTTCATTATATAGTGTTATCATATTGGTTTATTATATATTACTCAGAAGAACAGTTAATTAAAGCCCTTATAGTATCCACTGTTTCAGTGTATTAGACCTTGGAAATACACAGTATTTTAAAGCTATATTGTGGACTAGCTGTGTACCCGTCCTTCGTACGGGTTGTGTGTATAAATAATACATTAATTTAACAATTAACAAACAAATTACTTGTACTTATCAGCCCTGATAACAATTTGAAAGTCAGACGAGTCTGGAGGCAATTGTCTCCATGGTGGTTTTGAAGCTCTGTATGTAGGCGTTATTGTCTTGAAGCATGGTCTGTAGAGCGGCTACCTTGTTGGCGTCCAGGTCTTGAAATAAGTTCAACCTCCTCACAAGCTGAGCCTGACTATCACCAACAAAGTATATTTGAAGGAAAGATGCAGGTTGTCCAGGGGTTGGCAAAAGAGAGCCGATCAGATGGTACACTGGGCCTTGAACCTTAAACGTGGGCATATATACTCCTTCACGAATCTTATTGCCTCCAAACGAAGTCATTTGAAAAGCACTGTTGTATGCTCTGATATTCTATAGGAAACTGCGAGACTGGGGTGAGTCTTCTGACACCCACGACCGAAGAGGCTCTGGTGCCTCCACAATGGGGGGAAGAGCTAGTTTGCCAGAAGCACAGCAAATGCCAGATGGTTCTTTTGCCCATGTGAGAGCATGACAGTGCCTACACACCTTGTCTAAGGCTCTGATGTTGGTGGCTTCAGCATAGTTTATTAGGGGATCATACTGAAACCCACTGTTGTTTTTGTTAAGCCATTGTATCATGTTTCTTTGTACATGCCATGTCCTCTCTCCTGCGATTCTGTCGCGTCTCTCTTGGTCGGTCTCGAGTTGCCTGGTCACACGGTGTCTTTGGGTGTCAGCAGCCATGCGGGAATTTCTCTCATCCTGACCTTGGCGAGCTCTATAGACCTCCACTCGCACTACCTCCTCTCCCAAGCTCAGATTGTGTTGTTAAACAACGCGATGGTACCTTTCGTTGTCAATCACGTGGCGGGCTTCCCTCTCCTCTACTGTTTCATTTTCCCTTCTTTGACTGTGCTGAACTCTATCTTCTTCCTGCCGAGCTTCCCTCTCCTCAACTGTTTCATTTTCCCTCGCCAGACTGTGGCAAACCCTATCTGCTACCAGTCAAGCCTCCCTGTTATCCTCAGACTGTGACTTTCGGGAGATTGCGTGCCACTCTCTGTCACGGGCCAAACGTTTTTCTCTTTCAACTTTAGACTGCCGGGCTTTGAAGTGGGCCACACACTCCCGACTGGTGGAAGGTTGTTCCTGACCAACAAAGTATGTTTCTAATGAAGTGGAGCTCGTGGATGCCTCATTTCCTCCATTATTGCTTGAGGGGCCCAGCCTCACACCCTCAACC